TGTTTAATTACTCGCTATCTTTCATGTCTCTGGATAACAAAAGGGTTGGCGCGACCGGAGTGGTACCATGGCTTCACAGAAATCTGGCGTCAAACAACCACCGCGTTATTTCACCGTGTGAGTGAGGTTACCGGAGCCCCAATCATTCTTCCTATATCCGAAACCCTAATCCCCAAAAGGCCGCCAACGCACTACTGTCCATAGGCGGCGCCGATGGCTCACCATCAGGTAATCCATTAGCTCGTTTGCCGTCCTATCATATAAAAAAACACCACAGATATAAATTGCTACTGGCGTAAGAGTAATGTTCTACTTTGGGAGCTAATTAGCTAATAACTCTGTTTGTTTATAAGCGCTCATGGACGCTGCATGCGTAAGTAATCAAACATTCTATGTTTAATCCTCCGTACAAACAGTAAGTAATCCAAGGTATTTGCAAATTCCTGTAATTACTGATGAATTGTCTCAATCACCAGACTTGTATTCGGCATCATAATATGACGTAAGAATCACGCACGATTGAACAAAAACTTCGAAATGCTGTTCAGACGTGCAAAAAATATGAAGGATTAATAAAAAACGTTTTAGCACAATTCGAGACTAGGCAACATGTGACATACATATCTTCTATTTTATTATCAACGAATAAATAGATCAGTTTTTAGAGCAATCTGGCCACATGTTGCACTAAATTCTACCTTTGACTAATCCAGCCACAACAATGGCGTACTCGGCCAAGAAAATCACAATAAAACAAAAATAATCTCATTTAGATTCGAGCCATAGATAATTGGATACACGTAAAATGTACAAGAAACGCACAATAGCCCAATTAGATAGTGAAATGTTGATACTGCAATATGCCACTCATTGCAATCTTGGACAATAATAATTAAAGGAACTTTTTACTCATCAATTGCACGAGTATGTAATTTGAAGAGAGAATATGGCGCTTGGAAATGAATAACGGTGTATTATGATATATAAGTATATTCTATGATATTATAAGGCATTCGTCGCGTTCGACAATGAAGTCAATATCACAAGACGTGAGACAAGGAAGTCAATATTTTGGCGGAAATAATGTTCCTAGTTCTGTATCAACTTGTGTAATGTTTATTGTTAGTTTTAAGTTAAAGGAAATTATTAATCGAAGGCGGCGAAAATTTCCAGAATCGCTTAAGAACCTCGAATAATTTCTGAAATTGATGTTTTACCAACATATGCTATATTATCCGTTATCTTGTTAGTAAACTTCGGTTGTAAGTAATGAAATTGTTTCGATTCAGCCTTCTGGCTCAAAAAGCAGATGTTGATCGATCCCTAATGTCCTTTTTACAATTATCTTATAAGTAGGTACCCCATTATATCTCGTAAGCAATTTCTTTCTTTTATTTTACACTAAGCAACATAGAGGAAAGATTTCTACGCGTTTCGTTTCAGTCGTATAAGGTCATTTAGTGCATCTTATAAATTCTTGCGGTACGTTGATCTGCGTGCAGCATCGATTACGATTTCACGCGTCGTCAGTGAATAATTTCGACAATAGTTGCGTGATTCTTCTCCGATACTGTTACATAGCTGTCTGTGTTTATAACATCGGTACCGAGCAATTATTGGAAAACCTGATCTAATATACAGTCCAGATAAAAAGTTTAATTTACGTAGTAGTTAGAAGGTAAAAAACTATATGTAACTGGTATTCAACTTTGATTTGATATTTTCCACTGAAGAAAAGACCATATTACACCCATTTTTTTTAAAGTGCTTATTGTCCCATTGGGAAAGGTTAAATATTGTCCAGGTATCCATCACAGTTTCTGCTTATTTATTCAGATCTTGGAATATTTCCTAATTCGGCAACAACTAACCCTGATCAAGCAGATGTATTTTGGCTTATTACGAAACAAAAACTAGTTTCATTGTTTGCTTTTGTTTCATTATAATTTATTACGAAGCCTACTGACTTATCTAGTAGGCCATTTCTTCTAACTTTCTAACCAAATAAGTGTCACAGCCCAGTGTAGGTGTGTCTGCGGAAATCAATAGATCATTGCGGTTGAGTAATGCAGTCTGCAGTAGGAATTTACTTGTCCTGCGCTACTCTCAAGTCCCCACGGATTTACGGTAAAGGTAGAGGCTAGATGCGGTTCAAGTATTCAATTGAACGTGAAATTAGGTTTTCCGACTTCGCGGAAAACCTAATTTTGAGAAAGTAAACAAACCAAGCAAACGGAAAGCTTATTTTTTTGTTTCAGTGCAAGTAGACCAATGATATAAACACCTAGTAGTCAATAAAAACATAATAATTAACCTAGTAGTCAAATTGGGTAGAATAGAAAAATAGGATATGACCGAAGTTATAGGATTTACGTCGACACTAGAGAAATGGGACTGGGTTGTAGGTAAGCACAGTATCTTAAATATTTAGTATTACACGATATTGTGATGAAATGATGAATCCTGTGATGATGGAAAACTGTTTACAACCTTCGTAAATGTCTTACGGTAAAAGCAATAATGAGAAAAAAACAACAAATATAATAAAAAAATGGTAAATAGTAAATTACAAAGATATCCTTTAATTATTAATTGCGTTGGTTATGCGCTTGCGCATCTCAAGCCTGTCCCCACTGTGCTTCCGTTCCTATGTCACGCGGCCGCGGGAGGATGTCGACGTGCGCATAATGAGCATCGCGTAGACATGCCTCTGGTAATATTTACATAGATAGTAAGCAACTAGGTTTTTTTATATTTAAAAAGAGTATTTTCTACAGTCAAGAACATGGGCTGTTTTTACCAAAATGTTTTTTATAAAGTTTAAATAGACATGAAGAATTGTATGTATAGTTTCTTATGCTTGTAGCTATTGTTTTTTTTTTTCAAACAAAAGTATATTTTATGTGCATTTCGTTAAACTATGTTCATTTTAAGATAAGACCAATACTTATTGAAATTGGTATGTTTATTCAGAGAAACTTATGATAATAGCGACAGTTTTAAGCCGTGTTTCAGTGGGGAGTGAAAATAATCAAATGACATTTCTCACTCAGGATAGGGTGTGTGGGAACATCATCAAATGACTTGTCTCTACGAGTGTAGGATGAGAGACTTACTGACTTAAAACCCTTTTTCTTAACCAGGTTGCTATTACATAGTTTATATGACACATTGTGAAACTGGGTCCTTATGGTAATACCCATTAAGATTCTATACAAGGTTAAGGCGGATTAATTTGTTGTTGTTGATTCTTATTTTTTCTATACTCCTTCCCTATCTTTACACAATTAATGAAAACACTCACTTAATTTAAATAAAAATAAGGTAAATTTTGAGTGTGGCTGATGTTTTAATTAAAAAAATTGTACCTACAGTTTTAATGACTTAGGTAAACAGATCCACTAACCAGCTAGTTGCATGTTAATGGTTAATTAAGAACATGTTAGTCAATCAAATAATTAAAAAAAGTCACTGAAGCTACTATCCAAGTATTCATAATTACATTTAATTATTGGAACGAGCCAAACAAGAATTTTTAAGTGCTACTCTACTGCCATGTCACTTATCACAAATATTTTTGGTGTCAACATTTTATTTTTCTGATTTTGAAGACATTTAAAGGGATTAATTTGAGAGTATTCTATTTTATGTCTATGTATTTCACCCAGTTGTATGTGATTCATGAAATTGAACACCCTAATTACTTAGTTAGGGTACTTTTCAAACATTAAACAAATACATTTGTATATTAGTTTCATAATATGATATTATGTTGATCAAGGCTTTGTGTAAAAATTAGAATATTGTACCTAATTAATAGTAAAACTGAAACTTACTAGTCTTTCACACAGGACAACCAAGAAGTAAACAATTGCCTAACATAAACACACAGTCGTTTAAACACATTTGTTACATTATGTCCATAACAATAACATTATGCAATTATGATTTTCACACCTGCATGAAGGTTGCATATCAAATTAACACTACCGGAGGTCAAATGCATTTCAATTGAAAATTGCAGTTAAGAATTATATGCAAGTAAGATTTGCAGGTGAGAATTTAATCCTAGTTTACTGGCAGAATGCCAAGATTTCCTTGGTCAAGGAAAATATTGGCCTGTTTGTTACCTACACACACACAATCTGTGGAACTCCAGAATGCCATAACTAAATAGGTATTATAATATTCATTAAATTCTTTTGTTGTTATAATTCTGTCTATTGTTATTGTTTTAAATAATACAATTGAAATAATTATTTTTATGCTCATCAAAGTTTAGTATTGTGTATAGAGAATCAGTGCTAGTACAACTCATGCATGAGTGATTCAAAAGTCTTGACTGTTGACATGAGAAAATACTAATAAGAAGTCAATAAGAAATGAAAACAAAATTAATATGTAGCTTTTAGGGTCTGAGTGCAATGATGTCAACAGATTTCTGGGCACACACTTAAGTTCTGTGATTCATAATCAACACTTGAAACAGTATCATGGTAAGACAATAGTGAGAATGTGCTCTCACAAATAGGAACTTAAAACACTATTGTTTTTATACAGTACCTACATCTGACATCTATTACTTATAGGAAATTAAATGCTATGAGAGTAAAGACGTCTGCATCACAATTTTCAACTAAGTTATCTACGAATTTATTTATCCAACCTGAGTTATTTGTTTCCAATAGACAAATCAAAAAGAACTTCATACATTGAACTATCTGATAACAGTTGTTCCTTATGAATCTTAGCTGAGTAAATAACATCGTTAATAAGGCGCGGTGACGATATAACTAATGATAAACCTTCACTCTTCATCACAACGCCCATTTTAGCGAGCTAATTGCGAATACCAGATATTGTACACAAATTGCATAGTATGGTAATGAATACAATGGTGTAAGAAAACGACGGTCTGTCCTGTAAGTAAGGTGTCGGTGCTTATGAGATGATTACTAAGCCGTAAAACCCCGGAATATTGATATAATGTACCTACTCACCCTCTCCACCCAAAGAAGTCAACAATTATCCGGTGTTATAAACACTAAGATCGTCACTTCTTGAAGTTTTTCCAATAAACAGATGCACTACAATATATTTTCCACACTTTGTAAATAAATAAATGCTAGATATTAAAGCAAATTCACATTAAGACCGCCGCTTTAACCGTGCCACAAAACGAAAATGGCAGCGTTGAATTGAAATGTGTAATATTCTACGACCAAATTTAAAAGTACGCTACCTCCACACCCTCGCGCTACCAATCCTACTAATACTGCATACAGCTCAAATCGTTTCAAGAGCTCCCTCAGAGCATTTTCATTTTGTCGGATAATACTAGTACCAGAATACGTCGCTATGATTGAAGTTGCAACCGTAAGTTCAGAAACGCCCAATAAATTAATGATTAAGAATAAAAAAATATTATATTTTAAAAATCACAACAATATGATTTTTTAAATATACAAAATTTTATTTACTGTTCATATTTTCAGACACTCAATATTATTTTTGTTCATAAGTAAATTCCATGCAATACAATCACTAAAGAAATAACAATTTTGAATTTATAAGCTTATAATATCTAAAATATCATATATGCGATGCAATAAGTACTGTCCTATTTTAAACGATAATTTTGTACCTAACCCAAGTTCAATGTATATAACATTGAATTTGAACGCATTAATTATACATTATAGAAACTGAACACAGCTGATGAAAGTACTGAACGTTGTTGTAGCTGAATGAAGGAAAATTTGATTTAAATCCGAAAGCAACCGACGATTACCGAATGAAACTATATTGTTCTCTCTTTTCTTCAATTTAAATATGAAAAGGACAGGTTTATATTGTTTCTTTCTCTTGTCGATACAGTTCAGTTTTTCATTCACTTCGTTCGTAAACTTTATCAACTTCCAACTTTTAATTGTTGACTGACGACAGCCGGTGCTGGGGCCGGTGAAAGCAAGCAAGTGGTTTTACTTTAGTGTAACGCATATTTTGTTTATTAAAATAACTGTTGACTATTTTACTCTATTAAACTGTAACTAATTTAATTGATTACGAGAAAAATGAGTGATATTGTAACAGTAAAAGCACCTGTTAACATAGCTGTTATTAAATATTGGGGCAAACGAGACGAGGATTTAATTTTACCGTTAAATGATTCCGTTAGTGCTACTTTGGACACAAGTATTATGTGTGCGAAAACATCGGTCTGTGCAAGACCAGAATTTAAAGAAAATGAGATTTGGTTGAACGGAAAAAAGGAATCATTCCACAGTCCGCGACTACAAAATTGCCTAAAGGAAATAAAATCCAGAGCTGCAGCAGAAAACAGTGTCAATGAAGATTTTCTACAGTGGAAAGTACGTGTATGTTCTGAAAATAATTTTCCTACTGCCGCAGGATTAGCTTCTTCTGCAGCAGGATACGCATGTCTTGTGACAGCTTTGGCTAAACTTTACAAAGTCAAGTCTGATGTTAGCTCTATAGCCAGATTGGGATCAGGCAGCGCATGCCGCAGTGTATATGGAGGCTTCGTTAGATGGCATGCAGGTACTAATCCAGATGGTTCCGATTCAATAGCCTCACAAATCGAAGGCTCTGCACATTGGCCCGAAATGCAAGCATTAATCCTAGTTGTAGGAGATACAAAAAAGAAAACTAGCTCCACTACTGGTATGAGAATCTCTACCCAAACTTCAGAATTATTAAAACATCGAATTAAGTATTGTGTGCCACAGAGAACTGATGAGATTATTCAGGCAATTAAAGAGAAGGATTTTCCGAAATTTGCAGAGATAACCATGAAGGACAGCAATCAGTTTCATGCTGTGTGCCTAGACTCGTATCCACCATTTGTGTACATGACAGATGTATCTCACCTAATTGTTGATTTAATACATAAGTACAATGAGCTCTCTAGAAGCACTAAAGTTGCTTACACTTTTGATGCTGGACCAAATGCTTGCTTGTACCTCCTTGAGAAAGATGTTCCACAAGTGCTTTCTTTGATAAGACATGTCTTCCCTTCCTCAAATCCACATCAATTTGTTACTGGGTTGAAAACAGATGAAGTTGCATTAAATTCAGAATTAAAGAGCATTTGTCAGCCTCAAGTAAAAGATTTGATAAAATATGTGATACATACTAAAGTTGGAGAAGGGCCTACAGAAATTACAGATGGCTCACATCTTTTAGATGATGCTGGATTGCCTAAGATTGTCCAATAAAATTAGCAGCCTACGTTTTATTACGTTCAGAGGCATAAATTAACATATGAAAGAATATCCTGTTTGTTTTTTAGAAGAATCATACATTGATGTAAATTAGTTTGGTAATGGTGTTCATACATTATTTTAGTTATAGGAGTTTATTGATATGTACCAGTAAGCTGTTTCTTTGTGATGGTCTGGTTTGGTAATTTATTTAAAAATAATACAATGTACTGTGTACTGTTTGACTCAAATATTGGTGAACTTTATTTATAATGTTAATTCAGGTTACCAACCGTAGATTATCTTATCATACCCATCTCGAATATTTTATGTAATACCTACTTTTGTTGAAAGAAAAATGTTTCTCTTTTATCATTGATTTTTATTTACATAAAATATACAGATTTCACATTCATACATAAACATTAGTTGTTTACCTAGCTTACGTTTGAACTGACAGTAACTAGAAAAACTTAAATAACCTTAAACCTATTCTTACAAGGAGATCACAATGAAACTGCTATGGTTTAAGTCAAACAATTCCATTTATTTTTATCCTCACAGTCAGGATACGTAAGTAATAAACAGCACAAAAATAAATGAAATTAAGTTTCTGAAACTCCTTATCGTGCTGAGACTGACACCTGCCAGACTCTGATGATGTTGTCAGAATAGCCCGCAAATAGGGTCTGACCATCTGTGGACCAGGCCAGAGACAAGCACTGGGGTGGGTCAGACTTGGAAGTCTGAGTCTGGTTGATGATTTCAGGCCTGAGCTCCTCAACCATCTCCTTGCTTTCCAGATCCTGTTAAAAAAAAAGTATAATTTAATAGCTATTAAAAGACTTCTATGTTAGATCTATATCATTTTTATATTACAATAAGTTATGATTAATTAAAACTAAATAATAAATAACATACCCAGATCTTGATGGAAGGTCCAAATGCAGCACACAGCCAGTATCTGTTGGGTGAGAAGCACAATGATGTGATGATGTCATTGTGGTCCAGGGTGTGCAAGTGCTTGCCGTCGTTCAAGTCCCAGAGCATGGCCTTCATGTCCTTGCCACCAGATGCACAGAGGGAACCATCAGGGGAGACGGTCACTGTGTTCAGGTAACCAGAGTGGCCAAGATGGTTGATCTTGAGCTTGCAGTTGGTAAGGTGCCAGACCTGTAAATGAATAGGTTTAAAAGGTTATTAATGCACTAGTAAGAAAAGGACATTATAATGAGTGTATAATATGAAGAAATTAAGTGTGTAAAATGTTCTCTCACTGATATAATGAGATAATTGTGTAAATTTTATAAAAAGATATACAATTATGTTACCAACCTTAACAGTGCGGTCCCAGCCAGCTGAGACAATGATGGGGTTAGCATGGTTGGGGGAGAAACGCACACAGGACACCCAGTCACTGTGGCCATCATCTTGAATTGTGTACTTGCACTCAGCAAGGGTGTTCCACAGCTTGATGGTCTTGTCCCGGGAGCCAGATACGATCTGACGGTTGTCTACTGAGAAGGCCACGGAGAGGACATCCTATAGGGAAAAATGTTATTATTATACCATCTGGGTCATAACTTACTTTTAAGAACAGCATCTGGTTAAAAGATTCTACAATTTCAAAATTCTACAACTACAAAATAAATGTGTAAGTAAATATAATTGAACTTAAAAGGTGCAATGTAGTGTTAGATTAACACAATGTGGAATGTGATGAACCACACCTTACCTCTAACACGGTCCTAGATGTACTAAAACAATGCTTGTAGCATTTGATCTCTTCTGCCTCGCAAAGGCACAAACACACTTAATCTTCTGCCGCGCGTCGGCACATATACTAAAACCCTAACCAAAATGTAAGTTCTGTCACACCTTAGTATGGTCTTCAAAACGTCTAGTGGTTTTTCCAGCAGCAAGATCCCACAAACGCAGAGTCTTGTCCCAGGAACCAGACAGAGCGTAGTTGCCGTCACTGGATAGTACGACGTCAGAGATGAAATGAGAGTGACCGTACAGACGCTTCTGGGGGACTCCGTAGTTTGTTTCGTCTCTGGTCAGTTTCCATACGATGAGGGTCTTGTCTGAAAAGCAATACGAAAATAATCGTTAAAGAGTGGCAACATAAAAAGTTATTAAATACAGAGAAAACATCATCAGCCCCATATCCGCTTGCCGCTCAGGAGTCGCGTGGCAAAAGATTGTGTCATCATAAAAATAAATTGTCATTAAGAAAAAGAGATGAATTTATCGTAGATAAGTATTGATTTTATCATATTAATTACAGGAATCACCATGATGATCATGGATTTGGGTAACGAAATGTGTGAAATATAACCTTACCTCGAGATGATGATAAAATCATGTCGGGGTATTTCGGGTTGGTCGCAATTTGCGTAACCCAGCCATTGTGGCCACAGAGAGTTCCTCTTAGCTTCAATGTTTCAGTCATTTTCGAAAAAACTTCTTGTGCGGCTTAACACCAACACTCCAGTCCCCGACTCCAAAGTAAAAGACCGGAATTGGTTTGTGGTTTGGCAGTTGACTTGTTCAGCGAAATTTTTAATTTACCGTTTCGAGTAGAGGTCATTTGGCATTGTCTATGGTTAAATTCAGCCGTAAATATTTGAATTTAATAACATTTATTTCGGCTTTATTAACATAATATAATTATAATAAACTGATCATAAGAAGACTTATGTTTAATAGCCCGAAATTTAGATATATTTTAAAAATATTCAAGTAATGAAAGTACTAAGAATGAATAATTGTTTCCTTACAATATTGTGTCACGTTTTTCTGTTTGACTATTGCTAGGTTTTATTCAGTGGGGCTGGTATCAAAAAATAGTTTTATTTTATAGGTACTTAACTTGGAACTTAATACTTTAATTTTATTTTAGAGATATTTATAAACACATTGCATGATTGTTTCATTTTTGGCACCCATCATTCTGCAGTACGCTACACGTACAAGGTTCTGTAAAAAGTTCTTTAGTCAAATGAATGAATGGAATTGAAATATTTGAAAAACGAAAGCAGAATTGGGTTGTAACAGGTCAAACATAGTACCTATAATTGGTATAGTTGTTCCGTTAAAATCACAGATCTCAATACCTGTTACAATAAATTTAAAATTTAGAAAACTCCCAACAAAAATCTAATATTGCTTTAAAAAGTAATAATTAAAAGAAAACTTGGCGTTGGGGGACCGATCCAAATATTTTATTATAAACTACATATATTTCAATTTTGTCGGGGGTCTAATTATTTTTTTTTATTTTAATTTTTTTATAGTATTTTATATTCATTTTCTTTCGATTAAATCATTAACATTCCCTTTCAGTATGCTTTCATTTGAGACCCTACTCGAGTATATTTGCAGACCTTCAGTTACCCAGACAGACAGACAAACTTATAACACCCTTCTTTTTGCGTCGGGGGTTAAAAAGAGAAGGACGTTATTATTTGTGTACAGTTATCTGCAAGTGCGTTATGTACTCACGAGAATGAAAGCAGGTAATGAACTAATAGACTGTCATTCGAACTGTGATTGTAACTAACTGTTCTTTACGCACAAGAAAAACTCTTATCTAGTATTTGGGAGATAGATGTTACTTTTACCTGTCACGATAAATATTCCTCACGCCTTAATGAAAGTGTCAAATTTTTCAACAAAATTCAAAAGGAAATTGTGAATTTGAATTATTTTATCTTGACATTATAATAAACTGAAAGAAGACTAATAAAATGACAATTATTTGCATTTTTTAAGATTTTTCAGGAATTATCGGATTGTAATATAAGCTCCTAGATGGATTTTATTGTCGAAGCTCCACAAACAATGGCAAAAGCGAAAATTGTACCATCGGGCTCCATAAAAGTATGTATTAAAAAATATTTACTTAATATATATATAATTACATTGAATGATTTCATTAGCTTGTGTTTGTGCAATTTTATTGGAATAAAAATTATTCGACAACTAATTTCAAATTTTTGAACGCATCCATTAGTAGCATCATCATCTAGTTCCCTTAAAAGCCGCTTGGAGTATTTCTTTTCTGAAAATTGACGTCACGCAAACGCCATTTTGTAAAGTGTCCGCCGTAGTCAGTTTTCTGGGCACAGTGTAAAATACGTAATTCGCATGGTTTTGTGTACATTTAAAACATAAAGACAATCAAAATCACAGTTAACGTCTTGTACGTTAATCTCACAGACACAAAGTATGGAGGACAAGGCGTCGTTAAAAGAACTGGATCAGTGGATAGAACAACTAAATGAATGCAAGCAATTGACAGAAAATCAAGTAAAAACGTTATGCGACAAGGTAATGTACCTTTGAATTCATCATTAGATAATGGGTTTAGTGGCTTTGTGATCGATTCCATGCGTTTTGTATATATTTTCGTGGGGTCGGTAGCTATATGATGAATGATTCATATACCTACATAGCGACTTACAAGAACGCGATCCTACATCGTTTATAGGTTGTGGTGGAAGCCGTCGGCCGTTGGTACGCTAATCGTTTCGGGATGTCGGGGAAGGAGAGAGTTTTGAAGTCTTGCTAGCATCTCTGTTTACCACACCCAGCTATCAATCTTTCCTGGTTGATATTAGCCTAATTGGTTAGAAGATATTTTTAGACGCGGCACGGAAAGTCTGATAATCAATTAACACTAGTTTTATTAAATTGTTAGTTTGTAGATGTTTACCATGGATGTTATCATTGATTTTTTTTACTGCTTTGAGAGATTGCCTCTTCTTCTGGGAAGATATGATTGATTGATTATTGCATTCCTTAATAATCGAAAGATAAATCACTTATTGATTTTTTATTTTTGCCATTATTTGTTGTGAAATTTGAAATTAAGGTTTAAAGATGTGCAAATGTATCCTTAGGATAAAGAGTTAGTTGAATCTTGTGTATGATTTGCTGTGATATGTGTGCTATGATAATATCTTCTTTACACAATTACAATTTGGTAATCTTCAGATCTCCTTTTCAAAACAAGTAATTCAAGTAATAATAATTGGTGTTTAAAAAAAACACATTTCCCAAAGTTTTAGTGCCAGTATTTCTTTTATTCACAATATTACTTAAATAATTATACTAAACATACTTTATAGTAAAAATATCAGTAAATTAAACCAAATTTTTAGAAATATCTATTTGAAGCAATAACTTGAAATTCCAGTGTTTTGTTTATTTCTCTCAATGTATGTTGTTTCTATATTTCACTAAAGTCAGACAATTTATTGAAGAAGGTAAGTATGTAGGATAGAACATAATTATTAAAATAATTATCACTAACCTCATTTACCAACCTGAATTGAATTGTTTATCTCTCCTAATAGAATGACTTAATCAATAAATTATCTTTTTAGAACCAAAACTACTTAATCTTCGTTATTAGTCTTTGATTCATCTATATTATAATGCAATTAACTATGACTGCAGTAGATAACATATTCCACAATGCCATCACATTGGGTTTACATTTTAGCTTGAAGAAAAAAGGTTTTAGTCAAGTTTGTAAGATATTGAGTTACAATATGCATCCTGTATGTAACAATTCCACTATTACACAGTTGTGACAATTTATCTAAAAGGATGTTCGCATTACCATGTGTTTAATTAGTTCAGTTTAGATATCATCCGCCATACATTACTGTTCATTGAAAATTTATATCACTATGTTTTAAAATGCTATATGTTTCAATTAAATATAAATTTGATGGTTGTATATTGACTTTGGTGTCTTTGTACTATGTAATGGAATATTTTAAAAAAATTGTTTCATGTAATAAGTGAATTGTGTATTAAGTTTTGCTATGAGGTGGTATTAGGTCTGTTATCGGCTGGTATTTTCTTCAATGTTTTGTTTAATTCTTTACATAGCAGAGTCCTTTCACCTCAGAAAAGGTTATTTATGTTTTAAAATAGTCCACTTAATTAGTGATGGGTCATTTCATCTCTGAACTCAAGCCTTTGAAGATTAATCCACTATATACTTGTAGTCTAAAATCTGGTAGCATAATAAAAATTGTCATAGTAACCATAGGGTGTCCACTTCTGAGCGTATGTCATATACCATATTGCGTGGTAATATAACTTTAAAAAACCTATTTAATTATAATATTGTATAAGGTTATATGTACATACTTAGGTAGGTACTTGTGACTGCGAGATATAAGCACAGTATTTGCAATTATAGTTTTCCTCTTAAAACCATAATGATGACTCAAAATGTCAATTAAATTGTTTTGAATAAATAAGATTTAACTTGAAGTTGATAACAGGATCTTACGTTGGATTCAATAAAAGTGGCTAACACTAGTTCAAACTGCTGCATATTATCAGTTGTGATTTCATAAACTAGATTCAGTTCATTGTGTTTTGTTTTTATTGTGGATGTTTCAACCAATATAATGTTTATGGCATGCAATCTCTCATTTTAATATTTTTAAATATTTAACACATAAGTAAAAAGAGCATAAAAGCGGTTATTAACCAATAATCCATATAAACATAACTGAAAATAATTTCTTAACTTAAGATTCTTCTAATATTTCATCTTTAGGTTTGTATCATTGTCTGCTCCAGCATAGGCGATTGAAAGGAGGCTCTAGTCACGATCATATGCACACAAGTTCGCTGATTTATTAGAACCATTAGATAGATAAATAACACATTGAAAAATATGCATACAATGCTAATTATCTCTTATTATTCTATCGCTAAACTGCACGTGCTCTATACATATTTATATTATTTCTCTCGCCCACACGTGTGCTGTCGACTGCACAATTGCTCAGCATTGAGCTACATTGAGCCACATTGAGCCTCCCCACAGACAAATTAGTGGTACTCGTGTTTAAATTATGCGAGTTTGTTTCTCGTTAAAATATCACGCACGCTGATTTTCCTTATCTATGATTCATCGATAAACATACATCAGATGACGCCGATCGTGGTATATGATGAACAAAGAGATTTAATGAATCCGTATCATTATGAATAACGATTGGTTGCCAACTTTCCTATTCGATTTATGTTTTACATAGATCTATTATATACCCTGCAAAATCTATTCCCGACGCTAAGTTTTGTAATTAATTAAAAATACGCGTTGCCATAACTTTTTTTTCTTAAGACAACCGGCTTTTTCTCGGCAGGTGAATACCTAGAATGCCGTCGTTCTATTTATTTATTTAAATAAAACGGTAGGCTATGGATGAAGGTATTGACATTTTAAAAATGCACTACTGTTTTTGTATTTTTGTTATGAAAACTATGTACCAAGGTCTAGGAAAGACTAGCAACAAATATGACCTTTTCGCGCTTACTAAATTCATACATGAATACAAATGGACGCTCACCAAGTTGTTAGACTACTTTAAAGGCTTTATAATGATATTCTCGGCGTGACTTTTTATAATTTTTACTATTGAATACGTGGCTAGAATTTGTATTGTGTCGCTAGAAATTTGGCACCTTTCATATACCATGATTATCAGAATATTAACACATGCAAGTGCTGCATGATAGCTGGTAGGTGGTATTACTATATTACATTCTCTAATCTAAATACAGATTAGATGGCAAAAAACATATTCGACCTTGAGTGATGAGCATCGAATAACTCTGCAGGGAAGATTTATTATACGAGAGATAAATGTTACATCGGTATCGGGAATTTATGTGAACCGAGCAGTTTGTCGTGTTTTATACAAAAACGAATGCTGTCTACGCTAAAAAAAGATATTTTGGTACAGTTGCCACTGAAAACAAAACTGGATTGCTACAGTCGGGTCTTTCACCTTACCATAGACTTTCGAATAAGTTATATTACTATCTATATTTCTCCGTAGAAAGGGCAGAAGCAGCAAACATAAAACAATATTTCACGACGCAGGTTGTTAAGTTAAAAGATCCTTGAAATGTCTAACTTCGACCTTTGATCGCATCAATTTTATTTAACCTTATTAAAATAATTATGCATAATGTATGTTCCCATCGAACTCGCGAGGAATACATTGGTAACATTGGTGGTTTCTTTTACTTAGCATTCATACACTTTCTGAATGTTGATTCGTAATTTCGATGCCTACGTAGCTCTATGCTAATTTCGGAATACAGATAACACATTAACTCGTAAAAAAATAAATCAACATAGTCTGCGTTCGTGAATAGAAATCGAAGAGCGATGAATAGAACTCCAACCCGTGTTATTGTGTTTAACAATCGAGATTAATTTCAATCAAACTGAAGGCTATTATATAAATACATGCCTTTTAGGGATACGTAATCGTGATTTATAATATTGTTTATTTTGGCGCCACCTTGTTTTCAATTCGGACACAACGTTTTCAATCAAATAAGGACAGGAGGGGCTCAGCAAATGAATTAATTAGTGCGTATTTGGCAACCACGAGTAATTTATTGCTCTATGTTGATAAGTTGACTTTATTAACAAAAAAAAAACTAATGTTACTAGATTACACGTATGAACCTCAAACGACGGTTCAGTAATGCGTAACTAGTTTACTTACATAATGTTCTTACCTAACTAAGTAGCAAAGCTTCCTCCGTTTCATATTTACAGTGACCGCTAATCTTTAGCCAATTTGAGCCAATATAACATCGTTATTTCAGCTGCGGGAAAGCTTTCCGCCCTACACCTTGTTATTGATTACACGTGACCCGCCGCCTCAACCTAAATACGAGCAACAACTTTTAAGTTATGAATGTTCTGCCCATTCCTGTTCGTGTGTTTACTCAGTTTTCCGGGTTTGAAGATGTCATTGTTGAAATTCCAATTACGTTTCATATTTTTTACTTAACTAATTTGTGCGTGCTTTTGTAATATGTTGTCGATTTATGTCCTTCTAACTACACTCTCAATTTCTTCCCAAATAAATAAAAAATAGCAAAAGTATCTTATCTCTGAACCCTCCGGGAATACACTTAGGCCACAATCCATACAAAGTCTCGACAAGCGAAGCTCTATTCGAAGACAGGTAGCTGCACGGTTGGTTACCTACACGATTATGTTTAACTTTGTTAGCCAGACAGAAGTACGTCATGTTATTGAATAGACCTTTCGTGTTTTTCCAGCCAGTGATTATATCAGAGTACCCACGCTTAACATCCAACTAAGTCCTGTCTTTTGTACTATAATGAAATGTCATTAGCACTCGTGATAATTTTCATTATACTCGCTCTTTGTTGGCCGTACTATTTCAATGTGTGTATGTAGTGATATGTACACTTATTATTTACCTTACCTACTAAATGAAGTGTTGACTACAAAATGTATTTCTCAGTAATTTTTCAACAACATTGGCCATCATGATGAGTTTACTGCGGACGTGATACGCCTTCCAGAGCAGAGGATTATTTTATCGCAGTCCTATAGGTGAAAAATGTCTAACCCACATCAATTATCAACGCTCGACCCTCCAGCAAAACAATCTAATAGCAGTAGTATCAATGAATGCATTACTTTTGGTATTCACCAGTTGGCGCCACTGTCGTAAAATTTACTGTACCAATCACATTTGTTGTCAAAAAGTTTATTTACCAATCAATTGATTACCAGTCGTTATTGGTCGGGACAGACGCTAGCGATGCAATATCACTCATTATTTTGTGCTGACGTATTCGAATAAAAACATATCAGCTGATTACTGCAATCCTACGTATTTGCACCCGTCTGAAGGAAAGGTTATCACTGAACAGATCGGTTTATCGAATAGACATAGTTAATCTTTATCATGGCCCTTAATTATACTAGGCTGATATTGACTCTTTAAGGCCGCTCATTGGATGACCAATGTACCACCATAATTAAATAATGATGGTAGAAAGATGCGATGAAAATAGCAGTAAAATTGCATACGGGCGCCATTACGTAATTAAAGTAATCTTCAGACTGAAGTGACCACTCAAAGAAAGACTATTGGCTAAGGCTTTGAATTCTATCTACATTTATTGCGTTTTTGTTCAGAGACAAATGGACGATGTGCCCTTTATAAAGGCGAAATACACGGAGCATAAGATTTAACCGCTTCATTCAAACGTGTCACTCCGTTATTTAGAATGACCAAACCAAATAGAGAATATGTTAAAAAAAACCTTAAGCCCATTTTGGATACACTATTGTTGGCAAGCTCTTTATTGTTCTAATAGAATTATGGTAGAAAACGGATTTAGTGGACGCTGAATAGAAGACGAATATAAAACAATTAATTTTATCTAAATAACTCATGTTACCATAAGATAAAGGTTTTTCTTGTAAGTTGTTTGAAAGTCGCTAGTCCGATCCCCTATTTTCTCGAAGTTTGACGAAAAGGATATTTTTATTCTAAACCAAAAAGGTTTATTACTTCATTAATATAACACTCCATTCTTTTATCTTTGGTATTTACGTGTTCCATTAAGAATTTTTAGCAATATCCCCGCAAAGATTGTTTATACTATCTCTGTATGTGGCATGTCCTTGATTTCCGTTGAGTTTTACGACCTTAAACCTAGATTGGATGATTCTCAACATTAGGTCAAGTACCTTAAACATAAATAATGGAGTTTTTGTTGTTTCGAACCACATTTGTTTTTTTGTGGTTGTTATTCTTCAAATAATTGACCTTCATGCGGTTGTCTTGTTTTGAGGTGCATCTTTGGATAAATAATGATATCCTTTCTAGTAGAGTAAATTAATCTAGCCTTCTGTTTAAGCATTATGTTGTTAGAATTTGATGTCGTAAACTTGTCATGCTTATGTTATCTTTTATCTTTACAGGCAAAGGAGATCCTAACAAAGGAGTCTAACGTCCAGGAGGTGAAATGCCCGGTGACAGTTTGCGGGGATGTCCACGGGCAGTTCCACGACCTGATGGAACTGTTCCGTATCGGCGGGCGTTCCCCTGACACCAACTATCTTTTCATGGGCGACTACGTTGACCGTGGATACTACAGCGTCGAGACCGTCACATTGCTCGTCGCGCTTAAGGTAAACTTACAACATTGTGTACGAAACAATCGATGTATGACGTAATGAGTATTCAGCGAAAGTGTGACGATTGTGTACGTAGGTCCATGTGACTGGCCGGTGACGAAACCAGGGTTATGACTGTTGGGCTACCTGTAATTTATGTGAGGACTAATGACTGACTCGTGACGCTGACGACTGGTATAATTTGTCATCTTTATTAGTGTAGGTTTTCTGACACACCCTTTTTTGACGTACTGTTGCTATTTGCAATATCATATTATTAAGAGCCATTCAAAAAGAAGGTGAAATGACAAAGAAAAAAAAGTATTTACATCCGATGCGACGAGTAAGCATGACAAACCTTTTATTTTAGCTTGACTAACGCACCAATTCGCCTACCACACTTCACCATATTTCCATAGACCGGAAACCTTATTCTATAAATAGGTTTTATACTCCTTTGCTTCCACGCAGGGAGTTCGGTACATTATCTGATTCTGTAACTGTCTGAGCTACGTATAATGTAGTGACGATGCGACACTTGGTACACGCAGTCAATGTACTTTCCCAAGTAGAACTAACAGTAAATACGTACATAAGACATCGGATACACGTTTACTGCCAATGCGCTGCGACGACCTGACATATTTGCTATTACAATACTTTTTCGCTAAGTCTAAATAAAACATACAACATAGGTACCAAAGTCACCTTCACAAAGTCTACGTAAATCGTGATTTTCGCGAAAAAAAATAATTTACATGTCGTTTCAAATGATTACGTGACTCTGAGCAAGTAGAATTTGCTTTGATAAACGCAATAAAAGCAACTGTATCCCGCTCCACGGTTGTATCAACATCTCCAATTGGTTTAGAAAAGATTCCGTATAATCGTTTTAGTATCGATGAAAAATAAAAACACGCTGAGAAACATTCATGATTCGATTTCTTAGTCTGTTAGGTTTGTGAGTTTTCTCCTACATGGAGTTATCTCTTTCCTGATACACTGAAAATTCGTAAACACTTTCTTTGTTTGTCTGTGACAATTCGGTGTCACGTGATAGGGTGTGTTTATCAGCCGGTATCTTTGATAAAGTTCGGTCACTGTTTACATAGCCTTATCAAGAGATTTTCCGTGTGAGGTGTGTTTTAATTGTAATAAGTCTAAATTCATGTGAATACATAAATCTTATTTTACAAAACCAAGATTAGTTAAAAAAGAAATGCCTTCATGTTATCAGCTGTTGAGGATTATTTGAAAATTCAATATGTACATATTTTCTGCTGTTCTGTATGTTGAGAGTAATCTTTGGCCTGTTTACTGGGTGAAACCTAATTAAAAAGTTATTCGCGTATCTTATTTGTTTTTACTCGGCTATCTCTGGAATTGCCAGATAGCAACATTCTTTCTGAAATTATAATCCCATTATGGAGAAGGATATTTAAGATCATATTAGGACTTTTTGGAAGAGCACAGCGTATAGAGCTTGAGTGGACATAATATTATGGCCCTTTGAATACCCGAGGGTGTCAAAAAACACGTCTCTTATGTTATGGATGTATTTTAAATAATGTCGGGTTTTGTCAATATTATTTTATGACTTATCACTTATCAGAGTTCTTAGCTACACCTAATAATAGTAACAGAAAGTAACAGATCCCCTTGACGTTGACAGACATCCCACTTTCTTAGTTATTTTTGTTCAGTATTTATAAATTGCGCGAAATACAATAGCTATATCTAATTGCAAAGTGGGTGTTGTTTATTTAATTATTTTCATACAGTAAGGTCTGGGTGGGCTGACGTTCATACATAACTCATGTCTTTCGTTATTTAATGTTGTCACTTTATTTTGTAGTATTTTTTTTATTTTTTACAATGACAACCCGCCGCCATCTTGTTTATTGATGAACCCTTGGTAGCCGCCTAAACATAGCTTATTTACCTTAGTTTATTTGATAGTGTGAATTTTTAGATAGTTTCTCATCTCAAGTCAATATTTTATTACATACATACATTAACCTGAGCCTTTTTACATTTTTAAAGTATTGTATTGTAATCGACCTCATATACGGAGTTAAAATAAACGTTATTGAGCATTGATGTCACGTTAGCGTTAAATATTTGAATATGATGCCTAATGCATACTTACTCTAAAAACAATACGAAATCGCCTTGGAAAAATGTAAAATAAAGTAGGTAATATAAATTGTCATTCGCAATGCTGTAGCGAGTTTTCAGAATTTACGATGAAAAAGGTGTAATTACGTGTTTATAGAAATTAGTCGCCTTTCGTGACTACAAGGACGAAACTATTTTGTACGAATACGAGGTTGAACATATCAAACTGCTTTACTTTCAAAACTATATATAACTATACTGTACCTCTATAACGGCTTAGAAAAACTTATAACTCAATTTTTTTTACAAATATTTGTAAGTTAGCTTCAATTTCAAATACATTTGTTGAACACATTGAGGATTACGCCAGCCGGGCTACAATTATTCAAATACGATGGCTTGAATTGTGTTTAAATTGATATATAACTGAAGATGGCTCCTGTTATATCGGATACACGCCTATATAGTGAATGTAGTATGTTTCCTGTAGAATGCACGTTGGACTATAATTTTGGTGAAAAAACCAGTTGTATCATTGTTTCTAAAATTACTAACTTTTTATTAATTTGTAACAACATCGTTTACAGGTTCGATACCGCGAGAGAATAACAATCCTCCGTGGAAATCACGAGTCGAGGCAGATCACTCAGGTGTACGGTTTCTACGACGAATGCCTCCGTAAATACGGCAACGCGTCCGTATGGAAGCACTTCACCGACTTGTTCGACTTCCTGCCCCTCACCGCGCTGGTCGACGGACAGATCTTCTGCCTGCACGGTGGTCTCAGCCCCTCCATTGACACCCTGGACCACATCCGCGCCCTCGACCGCCTGCAGGAGGTGCCTCACGAAGGACCCATGTGCGATCTGCTCTGGAGTGATCCCGATGACAGGTCAGTCCGAACAAATAGATGACTTCGACAAGATTGATGACGTCTGCAGCGCATATAAATATCTTATCTTGATTGAGTCACATTAGCTATCATCGGTTTTTGTATACAAATTGAGATATTGTTTGGAAATGTGCTGTGTCATTGCAGGTCTAATGCGTTTGCATAAAAACTCGTGCATGTGGCTAATATGTAGTGAAGTAGGAATACACAGGCACATAGCTCGTCTTACTTTTCTTTATATAACTTTAGGTTTTCACAAGACAACGGCGTATAGCATCACATTGTATGAACTATAAATATTTTCGCCTTAGTCACCGAAACTAAGTAAACTTTTATAATTCCTTGACGTAATACTGTAAATATTTTTATAATACAGCACAAATTGTGTTTCAAAGTAAGGATGCGTAACAGGAAATCCTCATGAAACCTTACAATTACAACAATTGCCTAGTGCTTACGTGTCGCACAGCTGAATGCCACATCGTAAAAGTTCACTTAAGGTCATTGCGTTACACGTAATTTCGAACTTGTGTGAGATCATCGAATGCGGTAGCTCATGCGTGAGGGAGACTCGTGCATCCGATAACAAAAATACAAATATTTGTGCAACAATAAACACCTCAAGAGGTCAAGGACGGACAACGTGTCATCCGCGTACTAATTATAGTCACGCTGCCGCGACGCGCCGCGTCCTAAGCGTTATCTCCATCAGTGGGTGACATTAACTAGGTTATATTATTGATTTTACGATATCAAATAAATACATGACTCCATTTTAATGTTCTGTGCATGTTAATTCGTTGTTCGACCTTGGTCTTGTTAGATTCTTTGATAACATTCGGCTCCTTACAACTTAGTTATTTGGTACACGAACGTCTGGCAGCTACCGAGCGCCGAGTAATCGGTTGACCGGGCGCTCGAGTTCCGGAAAGATAATTAATAAATATATTGACTGAGTATAATGTGTTTATAAAGGGAAATAGTTTGTTATCGTTGTTGTTTTATTGAGTGGGGTGATGTGGCGTTGAATGACTTTCATTTGAGTCAGCTATCAGGTGATACTGACTTCGTGTAAAACATGTATAGAAAAGTAGAAACAGAAAAATGTGTTTTGTTAAATTACAAGCACAAGTTCGGCCTAGAGCAGAAGGAACTGAGTGTTTTTAGTCAGTAAGAGTCTGACGCTCCCTCCTCCGAAGTCATTTGACCTTTCCCTTACAAAATACTAGTGTCTTTAAATTTTCATTCATACTTAGTTTAGTGCTGTCAATTGTTAAGTGATTTGCAAAACTGAATAGTGGCTAAGCTCTCTGCAAGGTCTTATAGAATCGACATTAAGGTGCTAAACAGTTGTTTAATTTGCTATTGCATCATCACCACACTAGACGAGCTAGCACTTAGAATTGCAGTCGGATTTTTTGTAATTTGTTAACAACTAAATTGAAATTTATTGTGGTTATAAGTAGTGGGCTTTATTTGACAATGAATGAATGTTTCTTAGGAAAATTCTTTAACTATTTATTTGTAAGTTTATACTGTTGGTCAGCTTAGCGGAAACTGTAATTCTTATTGAAACTTCAGTAGTGATCAATGTATGATATTTTTTTATTTAAAATCGTTGCATCACCCTAGGATTTTCTCGTGTGTCGTGGGTGTGTTTACAAACAATTTCACATACACACCATACCCAGCCATGGAACAACAATTTGTAAATCACACAAAGAGTTATTGCCAAACGTGCATCCACATCTGAAAAAAAAAGTGTTACGTCGAAGTTTATTGTGAATTTAGCTTACAGTTGTAGAAATTTGCCTATTAAAATGTGCACAATATTTCATAGTTGACTTGATTATTCCGAGTGACCTATTTCGTCACTTGATGTATAAAGAAATTGCTTGTGTGACCTCAATTGCGTCAGACGAAAGACTGAATCTAGACATCAATTTCCTCTTTTATTTGCAACGGTTTTAAAATCGCAAGTTACATAAGTTTACCAATGCTAAAACTTCATACTTTGTGAGATGAGGTCTTTACTTTTTAAAGGTGGGAGATGTACAAGCCCATTTTATAAGTAATAAAGTTCTAAATTTGATTAATATCTGTATATGTTTTGACTATGAGCCCCGCGTCCTATGAAACTAATCGCACTACCTCGTCAAATACACGGTAGCTAATTATATGTATTTGTTTATAACAGAGGCGGATGGGGAATATCGCCGCGTGGTGCCGGCTACACTTTCGGCCAGGATATATCGGAGACGTTCAACCACAGCAACGGGCTGACACTGGTCTCCAGGGCCCATCAGCTCGTCATGGAGGGCTACAACTGGTGCCACGATAGAAATGTCGTCACTATATTCTCAGCACCCAATTACTGCTATAGGTAAGTACGAGTTTGACGTTTCTATGCGAAATAGTTTAAAATAAAAGTAATCACTAACAGAAATTAAAACAGATACAAAAACCATCTATGCGAATTTAGCAGTCGTTCGTAATCCAAATTCTTCTGACAAACCCCATGGGCTATCATTTTGACAATTATTTTTGAACATACATTTATAGCCTTATAGGTCCTCTTATAGGCTCCTCTTATAGGTCTAAAAAAATATGGTTATCTTAGAAGTTCACAAACCTCTTTAGAATATTATAAAGAGCATTGGAGAATCATAGTAAACATTTCCTCAACAATAACATTTTATCTCTCTTCTTTTTAAATTATTAACCTTTTTTGTGTTGTGATCGCTGTAGCTGCATCGTAAATTCATAACAGCATTGAATACAATATTTGGAATCACCAAGAAACCTTGAGTTTGTAATGATAAATACTTGGACTTCGATTAATATTGGCCATAAAACATCACAAATGTTGGTTCCAACTTAATTTACATATACACAGTATGGGGAGCGGTAAACCAAAATAATTTGCCAATGAGGCCGCTTCAAGCTTAACAATGAACGAAATTGACTGTTTAACATAAGTCCTTCATTACAAATTATGCACTTAAGTGCGGTATACTCTTGACAAAACTGTGTAATAGTTTAAAACTCACATTTATTGGTTTTGCCTTTACTGTTTTAGAGAAGGTCGTAAAATAACTGTTTCGTTTCTAATGGTATTAAGCCGACTGCGTAGATGAAATATTTTGATGACTATTCCAACCAAATAACACCTTAAAAAATACACCGTTAATCGTTTTTTTTTTTATATAATACTTCGTCGATAAGCCCAGATTAAAGTCAGTCTGTGTGGCTAAATTGCGTAATTTATTTATAGTTTTTTCGGATTTATCGTAATACAATACGTGTGAGTTATACAATTCATTGCCCTTTTCATTTCTCGATTTACTTGTGTGACACATAGTTCATACAAATTGCGTTCTATATTCACAAATATCTGGTACATAAACTGGCTAATAAGATTTAGGGAAACATAAGAGGATTAAATATTATATACATAATTATGCAAGCTGACTAAAAGTAAGCCATTTTCTTATTAAAAAATATTTTAAAAAACCATCTTAGCGAAAATGCAGGAGAAAGTTGCCGTCAAGCACTGTCTAATCTCATCAATCCGATATAATTCGATTAGATAAAGCAAGCGACCAACAATATGCTGTTAAGCAATATAATATAACGTAAACATTTATTTTTATTGTTACAGATGCGGTAACCAAGCCGCCATTATGGAATTGGATGATGCGCTTAAGTACTCATTGTAAGTATTATAACCATGTTTTATCACATTTACTCTATCCTCCATTTCAACATAATTGCTGACTCAAAGCGTTAAAAAGTTCATTGACCTGTCTTATTTTGTAATAAACATTGCCTTGTATCATAATTTTGTAAACAATTCAGTCATGTATAAACATGTCGTTCGCAACAGCTTCTACTAGTTTTCCACACGATAATCTACATCTGATTATGTAAAACGTACTTGTAGACGATACTAGAACAAATTAATCCCCTCTTATTCCTACTTAGTGTAAGTGAGGTATTTCTAGCCGACATAGGGCTTCCCTGCTTCAAGGCACCGTGATTCACGAGCGCGTACTTGACCTTGCGACGTGAGAGGACACCTCCAGTTGTTTATCATCCTTCATAACTTCTACAGTGACAAACTATATCTTGATAATATAAACATGCCTTATTCATTTACTTTATCATTGAAGGATAGTTGATAAAGTACGTAAAATGTTCCTTGTTACTATTGCAAATGGTAGACGTAGGTTTTGGAATGATTATCAGCGCAAAGTGATGACAAAAATTTGATATTCAACATCAAATTATTAAATCGACTAGTTCGATTCTATACTATGGATAATGGAAAATATGACCTTATAGGAAAATAATCATTATGAATGTAGACTTTACGTTTGTATGATTACAATGGATTTTGTTTTACAGCCTTCAGTTCGATCCGGCCCCACGACGTGGCGAGCCGCACGTTACGCGACGGACGCCAGATTACTTCATGTAGGCTGCACGTAAGTAACCAATATTGAACAAACAGACAGCTGCAAACCACATTTCCAAAAATACAAAATTCTCACACTTACCTGTTTATATATCCTAGAAGTATGCAAATTCGTCAGAAATCACCCTGAATTCTATACTACCCGACAAGATACTCAAAGTAAATATAGCCTACGACACAAGAATAGATTAAATCTACCTACATCCCACCTTAAAATACATTCTTCCGGTCCGCTAATAATGTCAATAAAAATATATAACAACTTACCTAAAACGATCAAAGATGAAACGAAAACATCTACGTTTATAAATAAATTAAAGAACTTTTTACACTCTAAATGTTATTATACAATAAAAGAATACATGGATGATAAGTCAATAAAAAAATAATGAACACTAATACAAACTAAAATATAAAAAAAAAAATAAACGAATAAAAAAAATTTAAAAAATAAGCCTTTACACACAAACAACACACACACACCACACACACCACACACACACACACACACACACACACACACACACACACACACACACACACACACACACACACACACACACCCAAATACACGCACGCACACATACATTAAGATAAGTATTAATAAGTTTCATAAGTAAGATAAGAATACAACATGTGTTTTAGTAATAAGCATAGATATAATACAAAACTAGACAATATGTACTGTATAACAAACCTCTCCAAACTCTTTATGCTGTGCCCTAACGGGTCCATATTGTTTCTAATATATTGTGTCAACTTTATAAAATATCACCTGTATAACATATGGAATGCAAATAAAGAATTGAATTGAATTGAATTCTTTTTATTTTTATATTAGCTACTTTCTCGCGGTTTCACCTGCTGCTCGGCTCCATTTAATCGTAGCGTGATGTTTTATAGCCTATAGGACTCAGCAATCCGACCAGCGGTTCAAAAGATTACTCCCTACATACAAACTTACAAATTTAACCTCTCTATAATATTTATTTTTATACTAAATCTGAATATACCTGGCCGTTACCCAAGTTCCAGTTACTTGAGGTTGCCATAACATGCGTCCATTATTCTCTGACCTTTACGCGGTACTAGTTTCTTTTTCAAATTATATTGAATTTCCAGAATATTCGTGTTAGTTATCTTCTTCCTTTTTTTCTTATTGTTATATATTGAAATGGCATACTTATCGGAAGTAGTAGATCGTAAGCAAGTGCTGATGTTGTTGCAGAGAAGGCGCATATCAAGCGGGCGGCGAGTGCGCGGAGCTCCGATGGCGCGGCGACGGCGGGCGCGGCGGGCGACTCGTGCGCGGGCGGGCGGCGCCTGCGCGCCAGGCGGGCGCGGCTGGCGCGCGCGGCCGGGCTGGCGGCGGGGCTGGGCCAGGCCTCGCGCCGCTCGCGCCGCGCCAGCCTCGACAGCCTGCTCCGCGTGGCGCACTGGCTGGCGCACGTGTAGCCCGGACGCCGGCCCGCCGGCCCGCCTGTAAGTGCTCGTCACCATCGCAACTTAGGTTCTTGCCGTTCACTGTGCATTCGCTCCGCGCTAGTTATGCTGGTATGTTCATGTCCTGCGGCCGGAAGGAGCGCGACGACATCCCGTTATGATTTACACAAAACATTGCTGTATGGAAGACGATTGGACCTCATTAAACACGTACATTTACTAAAACGGTAGTTTTATTTTGCTTTCGTCTCGTGTCTCGTGTCACCATCGATCGCCAGGGTACCTATGGACATACCACCATAATCTAATCTTTGGTGACTAAATGTGCGCCGTATTGGATTCCCATAAAGCTTATGATCTTACATCTAATGTGCAGTAATGGAACTTATAAATTAGTGAAACAACATGATTATTGTCAATCTAGCAAATATGATGTTTTTCATGTTAAGTTACTGTAGATCAAAATCTGTTGAAGTGCATCCTATAATTTTGTATTTTTAGTTGCTTTACAAATGAAATATTAAAAGATTTTTTTACAATTTGATATTTACATTACATACACATACTGCGGGGGTATTGATCTGTCGAGGTCTACAAAGCAATAGCAAGCATTTAGTTTTATGACAGAATGGCATTATGTAATTATTTAATTATATTATTCGTAATATCTTTAGTTCGGCTGTAAGTCTGCGTATAAAAGTATTAGGAAGTGTTATTGTTTATGTACCCCAGTGCAATCATTCTGTCATAAAACGCGTAGAGAGAACGAGTGCATTTTGAGATTCAATTATTCAAAATTCTCCTTTTCTTGTGCCACAGTACTTGTATGACATGGAATAGTGTTTCACAAGAGTGGAGCTTTAATTTCTTTTTATTCTGTATTTGTTCTATATTTGATTATAAAATAATTTTAGGTAATGATGTAAATACCTAAAGATCAAGGCACCCGATAGGTTGTTATCGTTTGTACTAAGTGTCGAATATTTTCCCATTAATGTACTCATTTCGTAAAGAAGGTAAGTAACTAAAATAAATATTAATAACAATTTTATATGAGATCATTGCGAAGTGGGAAATTGTTTTATAACATCTTAGGATAGAAATTTATAACAGGGGGTTATATTGAAAGTGTTACAAGCATGTTTTTAAGATACATACTCACTAAGAAGCCCTGGTTTCCTTATACAAGCATTTTATTATCTATTTATAGAATAACTGACAAAAGTAATTTTTATATTCCATTTTTCCATGTAGAAAACGTGTACTTATTTTAGAATCTGAACAGTGGACATATTCTTTTGTCAGTGCCATCTTTCATTTAAAAATAAAATTTCAGATTTATAAAATATTGTAATATTATTTTTATTTCCTAAATTAAACGCGTGCGTACTAATTATACAAAGACCTTACCCACCAATGACACCTGACGCCACACGTTTCGTTGATCTAAGTATTAAGTATGTAAGTTATAGATAAAATAAAATATAATATCCTTAAAGAAAAAAATAACAAAAAAATGAGAATGTATGTCGAGCCTCGTTCGCGTGAAATAAACAGTAACTGTAGCACAAGTTTGATTTCTCTGCTTTTGGCATTATTTCACCCAATCGAAGCTCGTGTAAAATTAAAATTAAGGCTTTCCTGGCAAACTGCATAGGCGATCGACATTTACAAGATTTTGAGGGGAAAACGTTGATCTTTTGTATGCATAGTGTGTTGATGTATAAATGGGACTCGATTCTATTGATGATGCGCCGATTACCGACTTACTTCCAACTGGATCCGCTACACAATGGCAATAATTTAAAATGTAAACACAGTACGATAAAAATAATTATTCTTGCAACGTGTACTATGCCTGTTGATAGGAATTAGATATAAATAAATAAAATTAATTATAAAACGAGGGGTTTTCTTTCACCATTCCAAATTACAAGTAAAAGTCAAAATTACATGAAAATAATTTATTATAATGTAGTACATACACATTGTTTTATTATTTTATTTATGTACTTTATACAATTGTAGAGCCATATATACATTATATTATCCTTCTGTCCAGTGTTTCTTACATGTACCTATTATATTAATTACATTTATACTGCCTTGAGTTTTAATTGCATCTTTGGTGCTATTATATTACTCAGTGTCCAAATACATTCTACTTGACAATGGGACCAAAAATTTTGGATAAAAGCTTAAGCTAAACAAAGGTAATTTGTCCAAAGTGTTTAACAGTAAATATGTAATGTATACTAAAGGTAACACAAGTTATACAAAGAAGACATCACAAATATGTGGAATGAATCGTCTTACATACTAGCCTTGTCACCCTGATACTGAAATAACAACTTTAAAGCTATGTTAGCTGTCATATAATTATTACTATAAAAATAGTACACTGGGTATTCTCGCTCGCCACATTTTATAATGTTGAAGAGCATCCAAAGCTTATTTTCACAACCTGCTACATAACGTAGCCATCAGAAATATATTGGTTGTTCACATGAATCGGCTTTTTATCAGGAATTTAGCCAAATTCAATCAGGTGGAATAGGAAAACACGTATCTAATTTAGCAACAAGATCTTACAACAGTATTCTAAAAAAAGTTGCCTAAAATTACGCTTCAACAATTTTTACCAAGAACTAATACAGACAATTTTTGGTTAGGATAAAATTTCCTGTGTAAAAAACTGAAAGAATCCTAAAATATTTTGTGAAAAGCAGCGAAAGGCACGGAATTTATACTTATTCGTCTATTTTAAACATATTTATTTCTCCTGCCTTTCCTCAGTTTATTCAATACACCTACATATTGTCTTATTATCATAAATATTAATTGATGAGAATATATAAAGATCTTGTGTTTAAACTCATTAGAAATTTGTGGAATAAGAGGAAATACTTTTACATAAAGGATGTTAAATAGTTAATTATTAACTCCAATATATGGAGACATTGCTTTGCAATAAAGGCCCAAGAACCATCAACTTCCTAACCAAGTAGATTTTAGCAACACATCAGTGAAGAGGCTTTTGGAGCCTCAGAGTGCAAAACAGCTTTATTTCGTATGGACCTCAGCTAAAAAATACAGCCTCGAAGAATGCACCTTTCAAAAATACTTTCGTAATCATAAGCACAAAACAATGGAAATTGGAAGAATTATAACTATCTACTAAACCTTAACTGGGAAATAACAATGTTCTACACTATTAACCTACACATTGGTATTTAAAAATATAAATAATAGTGAGCATTACAACTTTCAAATACTGATATTTATATAAGTACAGAGAAGAAAATAGTGTGCACACATTCAACTTACATTTCTTAATGAATATTTTGCACGAGAATTCTTATATTGTGCATTTTGTTGGCATAGAAAAAGTTGGGATCTGTCAAATAGATACACGCCACCAGAGGTATGATGCGTCACAAGGTAAATAAGGGGAGATCTTGAAAATGTATTCGCGATTTGATTAGATTTGAATAGATTTTAACACAGGAAAGGAAAAATGTTTCCTGTTTTGCATATTGGCTAGGGAGACATGATTTTTAAATGAAAAAAATCTCTCTTCATTTAAAAATATTAACCCTGTTGAAAATAATAAAATATAGGTATATGTATGTATGACTTGGCTTATAGTATTTTAACGCATTTAATTTAAATAATAAATAAACCATACTTTTTTTTACTAATGGGATACCATCTTTGACAGATCCCAAATTCTAAATAACACACAAATTCTTACCACCACACCAGAAAGAAGTTGCCATGTACTTTCTTCTATAAAAATAATAGAATTCCTAAAATATTATTATGCAACCCTATTTAAAAATAAGCTTTAAACGACAATATCGATTAAGTCCGTCAGCTACAAAAATATAAATAAACGCGTATTTTGGGTTCTGTCTTTATAAGAAAAAGAAACTACCTGGAATTAAGCTCATCAAGAGTGTCAATTAACGCTTATTCCTTCTCCGTAAGAAATGAGGTATCACCCACCTCTTTAACGACCCTAGTGTGAAAAGCAGACATTTTTTTTAAATAATTTCCTTCGTCCTTCACTGGATAAATAAATCATTTTTATGTTACTTGCTTACCATTTAGGGGACAACGGTAATATAGGTACCCTCTACAAAAGGTAATAACAAGCAGAAATAACTTTCTAATTATAGTAATGACGTCTGATATTAAAAAAAAATTCGTATATAGCTGAACGCAAAAAATGTGTGCCCAATTTTACCTACCAGATACAACGATGAAAATAATAATCAATCAATCTTTCTATTGGAGTTACGATACCATCATTCCTGTGTCGAGTTGGAGTAATTGCTTCATTAGTTCGTAAGTGGAGAATGAAGTGGCTACCATCGGTATCGCTCGGATGTAGTTGATGCTCATACCGCGGTATAGACCCTTCACTATACCGTTCTCACGGTATATGAGAGTCAACGTCTTCACCATGCCGATGCTGGAATTATTAAAAAGTAGAAATTAGTAAGTATTTTTAGTTTTGAAATAGTAGTCAGTTGATTAGTTAAATCAGAGATGAGAAATCAAGATTGAAAATTTGTTACTTATAAGCCTTATAGTTATCAGGTTTAAGATAAGGTCTTAGACTAAGTATTGTTAGGTATAATAGATGGGGTTACAAAAGAAATAATACAAAAAGGAATTTGTTACAAAAAAGCGTTCTATTTTTTGGTAATTTTTTACTTTGGTACCTAGGTACTTTGTTATTGTATTATTGGTTTTGTTGTAAGTTTTTCAACATAAGGGCTTTTCGGTTCCGAAATCTCACAAAACATTTATAAAGATCTTGTTTCTGCCACATCCTGTGCGCTATGTTCGAAGAAATGTTAATATTACAAAGTGGGCATGGAGGTAATACCCTAGAAAAATATTTTAAAAATAAAATATACAAAAATGTGAACAACCAACCTCCTGCAAGTGTTGCCAACACCACGTGTAAATACCATGCAATCAGAAACATCGCTGCATTAGTTAGGAGTAGAACCATTATATTAACAGGGTTGCCAACAAAACAAAACAAAAAATATACCGTAGGATATTCAAAAAACGAAATAATAAAGCATTATACATACTCTCTCCTTTTAAATAAAGTTTCTTATGGCATATTTTTTATTTTAGTCTCGTTAAGATATACATTTTGAGGAATAGTGCAGTAATATTATATATAGTCTTGCATTGCAGTATAACATATAATTGAAATAAGTTTCTTATTAGTTAAGAAATAAAGTTTGTTTTACAAAGTTACTCACTGCCTTGCTTTAGACCGTGCGATAATGTAGATATGGAGTCCATAGTTATAATTATTATCGTGCGTAGACATTGAAGGGTATACATACAAATTGAATTGTTAGTCAATAAGTGCTTATTTTTAAGTTATAGTGTGCTAGAAGATATTTATGAAAGAGTAGCTACTGCCGCGCGGTTTCACCGTCGTAGGGAGATGTCTTATTGCCTAATAATAGCTTTCAGTAACATTGTAGCTACCTATCAGTGAAAAAATTTTGGAAATCAGACCAGCGGATCCAAAGATTACCCCATAGAAACTTACAAATTTTATAACAATATTTTAGTAGGACTGTATAGATGACAGTCAACATTCGGCTAGTGATGTAGGATATGAATGCAAATTGTTTTTAACCAATGAAACATTAGATTTTGTTAGCAATTAATCAATGGCTCTTTACCCAGTTTTTAGACTTGTTAGTTCGAAAATGTTATTTTCAGTGTTGCCATGTGACGAGGGCTGCAGATTTGTGCTTTAATGATATAACTACTAAATTAACTATTTCCTGCTAACGGGTCCTCAGAAAGGATGATGATAAGTAAAACTAACAAAACTTTCATGAATTAAATTAATTGAAAGCTTAGCTTTAGAATTTTTCTAGCCAACTTATGCAGCACTACCATCGATCACTAATAAAGAACTAGATACACAATCCCATACAAAAGTTCGCTTCAAAACTGTCGTCAACTGTATTTAGGTACTTATACTTGAAATAAACATGCATTAATGTAAATTAAACCTTAAATGCAACTCATAGAGTTGTTTTCACAAAGGGATATACAAAATCTAAACATTTTTTGCATAAATCATAAGAAATTGAACCATATTCGCATGTTTTTAAGTCGAATTTACAATGTGTCAAAAATGAGCAATAAAATTTAACGACTTCGGCTCACCGCTAGGACAAAGAATGATTGGAGTCGAAATGTCTCGTAAGAAATATAGTTCTTTCAAATTTTTTTTGATAATTTATAAAAAAAAAAAAACGAAAATTAAAACGCATTACTTATAGTATTATTTTCTATAGGTTTGTTCATTTATTTACCAATGAAACTAATGCATATAGTTATAATTTTTTTTTATTATTTTCGTCCTCCTTAATCCTTCCTAATTTCATGCATATAGTTATTTTTTTTTTATTATTTTCGTCTTCCTTTCTAATTTGACTTCGAATTTGGAATATTTTTCAAAGTATATAAAAAATAATGAAAAGAATATAATCTAAAAAAATATATCTAAAGTAAGTACTGAAAATGTTGGCGTTATTGTTGTCAATTTTTCATATCGCACGGGATTTTGATGAAAGCTAAAAAAAAAAATGTCTTTACTGCAGTTAAAATTAAATCCATTATATCTGCCTATTCCATATTTTAATAAACACAGTAAAGAAGTATAATATTGAATAAAAACAATATTTTGATAAAAAAAAACAATAAATAAAATTAGAAACAATAGCGTCTCCGCTAAACGGAACAGAATCAATCCACGTAAACCGAACAACTTAAGTGGTCATGCTAGATAATGATTTTACGTTTAGTATAAGTGTCTTTATAAACTGTGTGCATTATAACCCCGGTTTTTGAATACGATTTCATTTGGAAAAAGTTTTAAAATTAATTTCTTAATAAAATATCAATATTAATATTATCATTATATGATTGTCATCATTCATTAACAAAATTTAACATTAACGAAAATATGAAATTGCATCCCTTTTTGCATCTTAGATGTGTGTTTTTTGCAGTTTTTAAACGAGCACTGAGGCGTGTTTACCGTCGGAGCATTCGAGTGGTACTAAACTAAAACTACACCGCGATGTTGAGTTTGGTGGACTTTCAGTTAGGACATTTTTTTGTCACTGATTGTGTATCTAGTTCTTTATTAGTGATCGATGAGCACTACCAATAATCTCATACACATTCATAGAATTTGTATCGTTTTTAACATTTCAAAAAAAGTATGTTTTAAAACGACTAGTGTTCTCATCATACTATTTTTGTAACAGCCTATTAACAATAAGTTTATTTACAAAAAATACGTGAAACGTAAAGTGTAATGATATTATTCTGTCATACCCGAACTTGGCGGTTTGGGCGTCCATACAGGCGAGCTGCATACGGCGTCGCGTCACGTCAAGCGGGTACGAGACGGACTGAGCCACGGCCCCCGCCAGCCCGCCACACACCAACTTGCCCGGCACTGTTAGCACTAGACCACCTGGAATAAAACGATTAAAATGATTTCACATACTTTTCTTTGTGTGTCAAGCTTCGGCATGAATGGGTCGGCTCGACCAGGGTGATACCACGGCCTCACAGAAAACCGGCGTGAATCAACAACATCGTCGTGTTTCGCCGTGTGACTAATTTATAATTAGGTATTTCATCAAATATCATAAAAAATAGTTGACAACTTTAAATAGGTAAGTAAAAAAAAAGTTTGTTAAAGTCATGGATTGGTTCATAAGTATCCAAGGTCTTGAGTATTTACTTATCATACGCTTATATACTATTCCAACGAGTGTTTCTTTTTCATTACACACATAAAATAATAGTTCATCAATTCGCAACACCAGAGGATTCTCAAGTGCTTTTTCGGCCTTTTGGGGATTTAGGGATCGCAACGGAACGAGGTGAAGGATTAAGGGTCCGGTAAACTCATTCACACGGCGAAACACAACGCTGTTGGTGTTTCACGACGGTTTTTTTGTGAGGCCGTGGTATTACTCCAGTTGAGCCGACCCATTCGTGACGAAGCATGGCTCTCTTACACTTAAATTATAAACGCCCAAGTTTGTTACAATGATGGATGGATAAATGGATTGTTTTTTTGCTATTTTACGTACAAACGACTGAACGTATCTGAATGAAATTCGGCACTGAAATAGATTGGCTCACATTAAACTGGTACTGCGAACGTTACGGCAGTAATTACTTCATGATAGGACTATAATACATATAATTATTATTAATAGATTTTTTTGCAAAATGCAAACTATGGTAAAGGTATGAACTTGGATCATCGGTAATTTGCAAATCACATTTAAGCTTTTTAAAATTCTTAACAAGTTTTAAATAATGTTTCCTTATTATGTTGCAAGTGTCTACCTACAGCGTGTTTATGTTATAAAGTGAGGAAGCTATTAAATTGCTATGCAGTTGCAGTTGTATCGTGAATACGATGCTGATTATACACGGGGTAAATTCTTAAACCTATTTCATTTACTGATTACTACCATTTTTACGTTAAATTTCTTTAATAGATTTTGACCCCTTACCTTACCCTACTACTATAGATTTTGACCTAGTCAATAGGGGATGCTTTACGAAAAAGTTGCGTGACCAGAGATTTAGCGTTTTCCTAGCTTACTGCCTTGTATGTGACCACTTTGCTATTCTGCTAGGCATAGGCAGCTCTGACAAATCATACAATTTCAATTTTACATAGCTTCGAGCCCTCACCGGTATTCCTCTCGCACTTTCTGCAGAGCGTGGTCGGCAGGTACTTCATGCAGAAGAACTTGAGCGACTCGAAGCAGTAGAAGCTGAACCCGGCGTACGGCACCATGCCCATCATCGTAGGCACGAAGCCGCGGTACAGGGCTCGGATACCGCCTTCCTGTAACGTTACCAAAACAATTAAGTGTGGGAGAGCCAAGCTTCGGCACGAATGGGTCGGCTCGAACTGAGTGATACCACGGCCTCACAGAAAACCTGCCTGAAAAAACCACATTGTGTTTCCCCGCGTGAGTGAGGTTAACGAAGGCCCAATCCTTGCCCCTCCCCCCATTCTTTCCCAATCCTTAAGTATCAAAATCCTTTTTCCCTAAAAGGCCGGCAACGCACTCGCGGCGTCGATTGCTTACCATCAGGTAATACGTCAGATAGTTTGCCGACCTATACCATAAAAAAATTAGGTACTCGTATACGTAGATCGTCCATATTCTCTTCAAATAAATGAAGACCATAAATGAGTTTTGTGTTTATTATCTTTGCTCAAAAGGCTCTTTTTTATAAAGCGTTGTGTGCTTCAGATAATACTTGGAGCATACGTTTACTTGACCTACCTACATGTGCAGTCCTTGTAGCTGATCCTTGTAGCTGTCCTGATCGTAGGGGCATTTACATTCACAAATCACCCAGACACAAAACAACAATTTGTGGATGACACAAAGTGTTGTTCCGTGCGGGAATCGAAACCGCGACATCTACTTATAATATTTGGGCGTTCTAGCCTTCAAGGAACTTGAGACTTAGTGGAATTGGGAAAGATACTTCACTCCAACCATTTCCAAGGTGCATTAAAAAAGAAACGAGTTATGTGTCGTACCGTTCGGAACATGGTGGTAGCTGCATGAGCGATGCCGTTGTACTTATGCTCGCCCGTGATCTGGAACGCGAGGCGCGCGCGAATCGTGTCGAGTGGGTATGTCAGAGTGACAGCTGTCACACCCGCTCCCGCGCCCGCCACAAACTTGTCGCCATGTTGGACTACCGGTATGTGGACTCCGCTTAGGTACTGGAAAAATAGTAAAAAGGAGGTTATTATCAGGGATTCTAACTCTAAAACCCTAAACGAACTATGGTGTCAAAATTGGGATGCTTAGAGATGTTGTACAATTTTTGTTAATTTAATGTTTTGTAGGATAAAATATACTTAGGTAATTATTAAAACAAAATAAAATACTATTTGTATTAAAAAAAATCTTTGTCCTTTTTGAATGTAAGAATTTGAGTTTGAATTTTGTTTCATTTCTGTTGTTTTGTATCATTTTTATTATCTAATTTTAGTTTTGTATGATAAAATACTCTATTACTTTACAAAAACACATATTACTTACGAATTTTGCACTAGTTCATAGATTATAAATTAATACTTTGCATGGCTTAAGATAAGGGCAAGTTAGTTTGTGAATACCTACATCAGTAAGGAACTATTATGGCAAGAGAACTAGGCAATACATAACACCTGTGATATGTAATAAAATAGACATTCTTCGACATTTGAACAAAGAAATAAATATTAGAAGTTTAAAGAAAAGATTGAAGAATAATATGTTGTTAACTTTTAATATATACTTACTGATAAAATATTGTTATTACACAAAATTCATTCAAATTCAAAATTCACTAAATTACAAACAAATGTACAGTTATATTATTGTCCATGCCGTAAGTTGTAATTAAATATTAATAATTGCATTGATTATAAGTTATACGTAGGATTTAGCATGTCTCCTACACTAATTTTTACTTATGTTACCTATATTTGTAGATATTAAGTTATTATTTAATGCACAAATAAGAACCTTACGCCAACAACCTGTGTGTGCAGTTTGGCGTTATAGTTTTATAGCTACAGAATGTTCTTTGTAACCTACTTTATAAGGTCTCAATACATAAAGATGAAATGTATTGAGACCTTATAAAGTTATTTATCTTTTTGTTAAAAATGGTTTTTAGTTCTAATAACTGAAAAATTTAAGAACTCGTTATTTATATTATCGCGATTTCTTTGAATTATAGATAAATTCGTGAATACGATGATATTCATCCTATTGTAGTGCACATACAAGGTTTCAGATTTAATTAAATCCTGTTCAGTACCGAAAGTTGTTTTTAGACAGGATCTGTCTTTTATTGTTGATATTTAAACTACATATTTATGCTAGACAAATCATAAATTAAAAGTCAGATGACCCAGTCAGATAAATACATTTAAATAACGCATATGCAATATGCAGTTGATAACTTCAGACGTATAGTAGACGTATTAGTTATAGAGTTACTGCTTACATGGGCGCGAATTTTCAAACATTTAAAACAGCCACTCAGACAGCGACAGTACCCCACGCTCCCCCGTGAAGAGGAGTGAACGATCATCGAAGGCTGATGGTAGGTCTACCACCGCCCGCCTCACGCTCAGGGCACCGCGCCACGTCTCATCAACGTGACTGGTGAGGACTCACATAGTGTGAAAGTCTCGAGAAGAGCTTACTATAGAAATGATCCTATGAAGTAAGGTCTTGCCGTTTGCAGCGAGTGCCGGGGAGGTCGTTCAGTCGCGGAGAATCTTAACACCGCGATTCAGAAATGCGCGTCATCGGCACAGACCCATCTAGTGGTAACATTTGGAAGTAACCGCTCCGGTCTAAAAATACCATTATCTCAGTCCCAATTCGTGGCGGCCGCGAAGCTGTCGCCAGATAGCGCTACTGGTACTTTGACTTCGTTTAAATTTCAAGAGTTAAGAAACTCTTCCGCAAATGTAGCAGACATTTAGAATCATATTTGAAAATGGAGCCTATTCTACTATTAAAATTAAAAATATGCGTATAAGTGCGGAAAATATAATTGTGGGATTTAATTTTAATTTTAAGAAATAATTATGCTCGATTGCCTACCTAATACAATAAATAGTATAAAGATGATTGCAAAATAAAAACAGCATGCAACTAAAATGAAAATAGATTATTTACCACCCGTGATACGCCGTGTAACACGTGAGCCATTTAGTTATCTAAATTATATATTTTCCACGAAAACCAGTGGTAAGTATTCACACAATGGAGTTGACTAAAATGCCATTAAAGATAGGATAATCTTCGTTTTAAAGTACAGTTTTGATTTACGTGGATTTTATGAGATATAGTTAACAAAAGTTTATGTTGAAAGAAATAAATATAAATAAGATAAAATATATTTAAGCTTATGTGCTTGTCTGTGCATTAAATAATATGTTTTGAATAGAATATTTACAGCCTACATGACAGCAGAAACCACGAATTTAAAATATCGATCTAAATTCAAATTATTTGCACTGAGATCGGTTAATTTAGGCTAGCAACATTGATAAACACATTAACAATGAAATATTTTTAAGTCACGAATTCTAAAAAAATAACAATAAAAACATTGCATGAAAAATATCGCCAACTAAAATCGTGATCACATTATTTACAAGAGTTCGCCAAAACATTTACTTATTATTAGATATTATTTTGTAACGCGATAACGATTCTAATAATGTGAAAATGAACATAATAATATTCAATACGTGGTCGCTAATATCTACGTAATCTGTTTGGAGGCTTGGCACTGATAAAAACAACCATTGAGCTAATCTTGTAATATATAAAAATGAATCGCGAAATGTGTTGGTAAGCGCATAACTCAAGAAAGCCTGAACCAATTTTGCCAAATGTTTTTTTGTTGTATTTATTATTGTCAGAAGAATGTTCTTATCAAAGGAAATTTAAGAAATGTCGAGGGGAAAATTGGTACAAGTGACCCTTTTAGCGAGAGTTGGATCCGGGCGAAGCAGGGGCGTGCCGCTAGTCTATATCTACACTAATATTATAAAGAGGTAATCTACTATACTTTAATATTATGAAGAGGTAAAATTTGTATGTTTGTAAGTTTGTCAGTTTGTATGTTTGTAAGTTTGTATGTAGGGGGTAATCTATGGAACCGCTGGTCGGATTGCCAAAATTCTTTCACTGATAGATAGCTACAATGGTTCCTGAAATCCTGAGTGCGATAGGCTATAAAATATCACGCAACGATCAAATGGAGTCTAGCAGCTGGTGAAACCGCGCGAGATTTGCTAGTTCTCAATAAGCTGGTAACACTATGGTTTACTTCGGCGAAAACGGCGAAATCACGTCATAATAATTTTGCTTCCTAACAAACAGTTCGATAACCTTTGTAAGTAGTGCGACGATCTCGTTATATTCATTTATACATAATTATTTTGATAAAACCGATGGTTATTGCTATTTAAGTATATTGTTTTTAACGAAAGCGAGTGTAACGAAAACAATCTTCCGATTTATGTTTTATGGTACCTATATAAGGAAAATTATGTTATTTATGTGGATGAAGAAGGAAAAACGCTATCCGAACAGCTTTTTTATTTCACTCATAGCTCAACAAGGGGATTAGAAAAAAAATCCGCAACGAATTATGATGCGTTTTTTTGAATAGATAACAGATTCATATTTTGCAGTGATTGAAGGGTTTATACGGTAATAATATCGATTCACCAGTAGAGAAATTTAGTATTAACATTGCACTGGTGCCAAGCCGAGGCGGGTTGCTAGTCTATACTATAATTATAAAGAGGTAAAATTTGTAAGTTTGTATGTAGAGGTTAATCTTTGGAACTGCAAGTCGGATTGCCAAAATTCTTTTACTGATAGATAGCTACAATCTTCCTGAGTGCTATAGGCTATAAAACATCACGCTACGATCAAATGGAGCCGAGCAGCGGGTGAAACCGCGTGAGAGTAGCTAGTTGGTAATAAATCGGAGAGGCCTAAACTCGTATGTTGCAAAGTCTGCAAACATGGCTTATCGTGTATTTTATTTGAGTATTTTTACGGTCAATGTACGAGTAATACAGATAATCTTAGATGTAAATGCGAAACGGATGTTTGTAAAGGATTTACTTATACACATTGATAAGTACTCTAAGTTTGGTTAAAGTCAATAAGACAGAGGGAGTAGGGAGTCAATTCTGAAAAAAAAGTTGTTGGCACCTTACCACATAACATTATGGAGCCCTCACTGTGCAATGCTTGCCACCGACCTTATTCTCATCATCATCATCATAAGCCTAATAGTGCCCACTGTTGAGCAAAGGCCTACATATTCTCACACGGATAAGATTTGAACATTAAACACAAAGCTTGGTCAAACTTATAAATCTTTAATTAACAATTAGAAGTCCAGGTCTTATAACGATGTTTTCGTAGATAGTGTATATCCCAATCCCATTTTTTTTTTGTGAGGGGAAAATCATCAAATGACTTTTCCCGCCCAGGGTTGGTATATTGGCTCTTTGAGGCGCGCGCGGAACGCTACGCGCCGTACGCTCGGGCCTGGTTCTGGTCAAAGTCAAAGTCGCCGGGAATGTCATGGTTATCCTCCTGACCTATTCGAACTAACTACACATCAGACAAAAGTTAAAACATCCAAAAAAGAGGTTAACTATTGACATATTGCAGAAGTTATGTCAAAATGGTTGTCAGGTCGTAAGGCCCTTGGGTAAGAATGACCGCACCTTTCGTTTTACGTACGGTAACATATTTCCGTATACCATATTAAGTTTGTGGGTCGAACTGTGCCATAATGTCTTCATGCGGTCATGCCACGCCTTGCACTCTCTCTTTCGTGAGGTCAGTAGAATTACGATGCTGTGTTTAAGGCGCACCAATGATGTAAAAGGCAAGAAAAACTTTTTACAATATGTAAGTAATTGATTTGGTTTTAAATGTAATCATTTAAATTGGTCTTTATCACAACGACTAGAGATATCGACTAGGAAGATTAAGGTTAAATTAAACATAAAAAATTTAACATTTGATGAAGTGGATGAAGCGTACAAGCAACTCTCAAAGAAAAGTTATATAGACTGTGTTAAGTATAATATGAAAGGAGTTTGTGGGAATCCTTCATCATCATCATCATCATCAATGAGAAGATCATCCTATTCACAAACTCCTTTACAACAAAGAA